CTACGGCAAACTAACCAGCATGCACTTCTACGGTTGGAAGCAGGTACGTGACATGATGTCAGAGACGAAGAGTTAAAAGTCGTTGCTATGAAGGCGAAAACATGTTAAACTCTGCTCTTCTTCCTCTGGCTGCAGGGTCTGAAGACGGGGATGTACTACCTGAGGACGAAGCCCGCTGCCAACCCCATCCAGTTCACCCTGAACAAGGAGAAGCTGAAGGAGGGGCAGCCGGTCAAGGATTCAGAGCAGGAGGTCAAAGAGCGGAACACGGCAGCCATGGTGTGTTCTCTGGAGAACAGAGACGAGTGCCTCATGTGCGGCTCTTAAACCCCTCGTCTCCACTCTCACCTGTTCAGGCTGTGCACGCCGTTTAAACACACCTGCTGTGACTTGATGGTGAAGTTATGGGAGAAGTGCCTGATGTTCTAAACGCTTCCACAACTGTTCAAACTTGACCGTTTTGTTTTCATTAATGCACTGTTTGGAGGTTGTCAGAATGTATTTATAATAAAATTAACTCTATAAGTGTCCCGTCAACTCACTTATGTCAATGGAAGATGACACAAAGCGTCTTACGACAAACAACACTTAATGCAAAATAGATTTTATGTTTGAGATGAAATGGATTTGTAATAGAAAATAAAGTTGTATATGCAAGTTGCTGTTTGGTGTTTTGTTTAAATTTGTTGTGGCACACATAAGCAAGTGCCTGTTTTTTTTATTGTCAGGGAGTCAACATGTGTTCTGTTAAACAGGAGGTGGAAATATAGCAGCTGCAGTTAGTGTTTTCTGTGTTTTAGGAGGTTCTGGATTGAGGGACACAGAAGTTCCTTAGTTACATGTTCTTCAGCGCTTCCTTATTGCTGTCATACAGGATGCACTGGTCCATCCAAACAAAGGAGATAAAGCTTCCTCACAACATTTAAAGCGATAGTCAGAATCTGCTACATCACAGAGGAAGGTAGTCAAAAATTAATGCAGCTAAAAATGCAACATTCATGAATTGTTTTTGTTTTTTTTAAATGCATATGTTTCAGTGGATTTGTAATAAAACCTTCTGGCATAAGAAGGGCTCTGATGCACCAAGTCAACAACTGCCATCAAATAATTACAGTCAACAGTAAAAAACTTGGGTTTCTCTTAGCACTTAAGTTGTCTGTTGTCCTTCACACATTCCTGTGTTTTTCAATCAAAGCATGAAGGAGACAAACGTAATTTTTCGACTCTTCAATTCAACTGCAGCCACAATATCTTTGATGTCATTAAAAATGGTCAAAAATTCTAAACACTCAATTTACTGTCATCTAAAAAGAAAAAGTCTCACATTTAAGAACCTGGATTCAGTTGCTTATTGATTTTGTAACAGCTCTAAGTGCTGCGTGTTTTAAAGTCTGCACAGTTCAATCATTTAAACTTTTTCTTTTGCTAAAATGATCAGCTGACAAAAAGACAGGTGTCAAGCAAAAGTGCCAAAATCTGGTTCAAACTTCTTAAATGTAAAGATGTTATTTTAGGAAACATCAACTTTATTTTGGGGGTTTAAGCTTGTAAAAAGTAATTCAAAGACATCACCTTCCACTCTGGGAATTGGTCATTAGCATTTTTTTGAAATATTTTACACAAAACTGTAAAAATCACAAGTTATTTTTTGACTATTAATAAAAAAAAAGTTGCACTCAAGTTTACCACTTGCATAACTTAAAGAGGGAAAAAAGCTCAAAAAGAAAAGAAAAATCTGCAAATGTTTTGATAGTTATTTTTAATATATTTTTTTTTATAAAATAATGAAAACATAATTTACACTTTTAAATGTACAAGTTATTATTACAACCCAAAGAAAACCAACTTTTTTTTCCACCGTAGCTTCACGTACCCCCGCTGCATGCAGAAAGCACCGACGCAGGAAGGGGAAACGTGACGCCCGCAAGAAAAAAAAAAAAAGAAAGAAAGAAAAACGGAATCATACAAATCAGTTTTGTACAGAAATCACAAGTTAAACAGCATACACAAATAAAACACAGTACCCTCTCTTCTTCACTACTGTCTGCAACAGTGGCCAATGTGTTAAAAAATAAATTATAAAAATATTTAACATCTAAAAAAAAAACAAAACAAAAAAAAACCTAGTCATACAATATTACCATTATTAATGCATTATTGATTTGTTCAACAGGGGGCATTGTGTATGCTATAAATAGCTTAAAATTATACATAACATGAACAAGATTTATATATATATATATTATAAAAAAAAGAAACCTTGCCCCTTTTACATAAGCAAACTAAAGATTAAGACTTGAAGATACTAAAATCACAGCCACACCTGCAAAGCTGAGTGAATGAAGGGTTTCCTGCTGGAGGAATATCAGGAGTGTGTCTACGCTTACGACAAACCAGAATTAAACGTGGCAGCTTTATGTGAAGGGCTGAAAGCAGTATGTGTGAACCCCAAGTCACTGGGGTCAAAACAGTCCGTCCTGAAGCTGTATCATTAGCTGCAGGGGTCTAAAGGAGGCTGGTATTAAAGCAGGTGCAGGGAGAAGACGGCAGTTTCTCGTTCAGCTCCGAGTCAGAATACAACACAGGTGCCCTCTAACGTCAGTGGAAAAAGAAGTGTTGTTGATCGTAGGAGTGGGCAATATGGAGGAAAGTCCTTTATCACAGCATATCGATAGAGTCAACTGATGGAAAAAGCAGTTGAGAAACTGTTAACAAACGTCTCAATCAGAACAGTCTGTTTTTGGCTTATCCAGCAAATGAAACACAAACCAAGGTTCGATAAAATCCAATATTGCCTTCACGCAGTCCTGCTAACCGAAATACACCCAGAAATATTAAAGGGATGCCAGAAGTGGTATCAACAGCAGGGCAAAAACTCATATCACCCACCCCTATTTGATGATATATAGTGTCATTAACAGCATCTTGAAGAACCTGAGTGGGTTGGAAAATTCAAAACAACCAGATCCAGTCGGATGAGGGAGGAAACCTTGTACAGAGCAGAGCGGGAGACGATCATCGAGTACAGTTTTGTCAGAAACGTCTAAACTGGAACAGGAAGATTGACCCTCTGCAGGGATGCATTGTCCATTCAGTACCAGCATTCAAACAGCACACTTCTGTATGAAAAATAGATATAGTAGACAATATCATTAAGCAAGCTAGCAGTATAAATAGTGTCTCTGGTGTTCATTTATCACCGAACACAGGGACGAATCCTCTCATACGAACAAACAGACTGGTTCTGATATGAAGGAGCTTCAGTGTTGCTGAGTGAGTTTCATGTACAGTATGTTTCCTATTAGCACACGTTACAGGTGAAACAGCTTCATTTTGAATAGAATTACAGAAAGTGTTTCACATTTTGGGAAATTACGCTTATTTGCTGAGAGCAGATGAGCAGATTGATGCCGATTTTCGTATCTAACGTGACAAAATCCATCGACCAGCGAGCACCCTTTGTTTTTATATATAAATAGACTGAGCGTGCCATGTTTGGCATTTAACATCAGGTTTGTGATAAAGTTAGCGGCTTAAAAAACGTTTTCAGCGGATGCCTAAAAATGCTAATCAGGTCTAATAAGTCGTAAAATTAAGTGCAGCACCACAACCGGTTTCCAGGCAACCAGCAGAGACTCCAGGAAGCTACTAGTGAAAAGTTACCAGCAGTCAAAGTTATCCCTCTGCAGACTGGTGAACTGTAGTGCACAGATTAAAGAAACAAGATATAGAATGTTAAAAATTAACTTTAGATGAACTGGTAAGCAGATTTTGCTATTTTAGTTAACCAGCTAACTAGCTGTTTCCAAACAACCAAAGTGATTACCACTTCCTGGTTGTAAAGCCTCATCTCTAGAGCCCAACCGACACAAGATTTTTGGAGTGTAAAAAATTCTGATATTGATTATCGTCCAACAATATTTATAAATATTCAGATATTTTAGAGTAATTTCCAGTCATGTGTTTTTCAAACTAGCAGGTTAATGTGAAAACACAACTTCAAAACTCTGCTACATGTGCTGCAGACACTGCTGAGGGTTTTGTAAAAACAGAGTCGGAGTTGCAAACTGTGTTATGACACCATTTCTAATTTACCCCAAGCATCTTTTAATGTATTATGTTCTGTATTAAAACGTGCTAAAAGCAATATATCTGTGACAGGTCAACATCTGCAGGTAACAGGGACCAACGGATGCATCGTTCAGGCTCTACTTATGATATTTAACGGAAAGTTACGGTGAGCGTGATAACTATGGAAGCAGACTGCATTCACAAAAGAAAAGGAATTACAACACCTCATAATTATGTCTTATTGAAATGATCTCATAATTAGGAGACAATGTGCAATAAATAAACTACTGGGGCATGAGTTGGAATGCGTCAGAACGTGCCTGAGAATCATTTGGTTTTAACATTTCTTCATTATCAAAGTATTTCAATGATAGTTGTCAGTGCATTCAATGGCACACACAAAGATAAACTGGTCAGAGTTAATTCTTCATCTTAAAAATGTAAACAAATAGAAGCCAAAACAGGGCTCACACTGCAACTCATGGTATCCATAGCAAGATCATACTTCCTCATTTCTTGTACAAGGTTATATCTGCTCACAGAAGTTAAGATTTTGGACATTTTTCAAAAAATACATGTATGTTGATATTCAAGCTCACATTCATTACATTAAGTAGGATAGCACCATCGCCCTGGTCCTCTCAAGTGTAGTGATCAATAATAACCACCATTTCTCTCCCAATTATGAGATGTTGTTATATTATATTTGACAGTAAGACATAATTAGAAAATACAGAATGAAAAGTGCTTCCATAGTTATCAGTCTTCTCCTCTGACACTCCAGAAAGCGTAATTCTCAAAATGTTGTACCTACTGCTTTAAAAATTACCTAAAAAAACACTTATTTGAGATTAAAATATTGATCCAGTTTGATCTGAGATGACAGGGCACTGCTGAAAACAGTGGAAATTAGAATCAGAACTCTTCACTATATCAGATATGATGCTATTATAATCACTGAGCTTTGTGACATCAACCATTTACTCTCGCTAAACACGCTGATGGCTTGTTTCACATCTGTGGGCCCAAAGTTCATCCATGTAAACGGCGGACAGAAAAAATATTGTGGCCCACGAGTTTCATATTACAGTAAACAAGTTTGTTCATCACTCAGTTGTCCTTTAACAGACATATAACACCCAAACTCTCACATTAACACTCACACCGAAGGAATAAGACGCGTCTTCCTCGAGCACAACGCTGTCGTGCTGTAATGCTTCTGAGTATTGTACCATCAGTTACACACACACACACCTCTTTAGTACGACTGTTATACAATATCAGTACAATGTTGAGAATATTGATACGTGGGAATTGTACCACACAGGCATCTATCTACAGTACCATGTCTGTAGAGCTTCCATTACTTCTAGTGCATTCTGGGAGATGCAGTCTGTAATGAGTGTCTTTTTGGCTGATTCGCTGCAGGAACAGTATTAGGCCTCTCCAGGTGATGTAGTGTTCTCTAAAACAGTCAGGATCTCCTCTCCTGCTCGCTCCTCTGGCATAGTAGCATTATGTGTTTCTATATTTATATATATATATATAACAAGGACATAAGACGTCTTCACTTCAGTTTAGAAAAATAAACAGGCTCAGGGTGTAGAGAGGGAGGGTCTCTGCTTCGTCTGTGTGCAGGCTCTCCGAGTGTTACAATTTAAAAATCCAGATCGTCTTGTTTTCGTTGCCGTCTCTGGTTTAAGGCCGTCCAGTGGAAGCTGAGTCAGGTGACATCATCGTGTCCTCTGCCGCCCCTGTGAGTGCAAGGAATCATGGGTACTCTCACACTGGCCCTCCCTTTGGCCTGAATCTCACGCTCTTCTGCTGCAGCTGTCGATCACTCCCTCTGTGAGTCAGCTTCATGTGTTACGTAGTGACCCTCGTGGTCGCTGCCCGTCTTGTTGAGGTTTGTAAAGAGCATGCTGAACTTACGCAGCTGCTCGCTGGCGGTGTGGCTCTCCTCCTGCAGGCGCTGGTTGTTTTCTCGCAGGTTGGCCATCTCCGCTAGCAGAACGACTTTATCTTTCTTCTCCTGGAAGTAGAGAGACAGAGGAAAAGAGGGAAGAAGAAGAGAAATAAAGACTGTTTAGTTCAGTGTTTCTGGATAATGGCCTGAACTATGTACTAAAGTAATGTGCAAAATTTAAGGATATTATTGCTAAGAGTAATATGTTTGTGAGCTAAATTTTTACCTTCTTTGTACCCGCAAAACCCACCAGTAGGTTTAAAAGTCATGCTGCCAAAATGTCTAGTTTTATAAAGAGCCAGAAACTGTAACAACAGAGAAAACTGGTCTCCAACGGTTTCCACCAGTCCTTGAACTATTCAGCTGTAACAAGCTGCTCAGTAAGGAAACTTAGCAAAGCCTAATATCGTGATAGTTCATCAAAATCCATTCACTACAATTCAAGTTTCCAAATTCTGCAAAAATAAACCATTTGCTTGAACTAGTTTTTGGAAAAAAACAATCAACTCTGTGTTCTTCGGAGCAGCTGAGAAGTTATGGCCAAGAGTCACAAGACAAAAATGTAGGAATGTTTTGGCTGAACTGGACTGAACTGCATGCAAGACAACAACAAAAAAAAAACTCATTAAAAATGTAGTAGTAACCTTGTGTTTTTCCACTATTTGTGCTACTCTAGGAACTGTAGGCAACATTTTGGACACAATTATCCCCAATTCTTTCAATTTTTATAAAATAAGTAATCAGTGAAATTAAACTTTAGTTGATGACTCATGGCATTGTAAATGTGTGTTCTCTCTACTTCTCGTCATGGTTGTGTTGTTTCAATATAGATGTGGGACTTTTATGCCCTTTAAATGTGTGGGGTTCAGAGGGTTAAATTATACCAACATCAAACTTAGTGACAAAAAAATGTAGTAGTTGTTGAGAAGCCTGAACACACTCACCAGCGTAACTCCTGTTTAATGTGACGTGGCAGAGTAACTAAAAGTGTGTGCATATAACATTACAAGAATGTCCGAGGTTAAAAATAGTAAAAAAAAAAAAAAAAAGGTAATATTTCAGAAACGAAAGATTCTCACTCTCTCCAGATCAGTGTTCAGCTGTTTCAACATCACTTCCAGGTGGTAGAGCCGGCCAGACAAATCATTGGGCACCTCGTCGCTGTAAACACACACAGCACACATTACTTTGCATAGAGCCAACGATTGTTACAACACTTTCCAACGACACAAACAACCGCTGCTGCACAAGTTACAGGTAGAGAGGGAAGACAGGCTTTACTGGTACTTTGAAGATCCTTAAAAAAGCTCTTCACAGCCTTTCTGCCAACACACACATCTCAAACAACAAACTCTTTTAATCTAGTGTGAATACACAGATGAGTAAACAACCTGGAGAGTCACTTCAGACAGTTAAGTAAACTACCACAAGGTGGCAGCAGGGACAAAGTTTATAAAGGAGTATAACAAAGCATGAATATTGATTTATTTCTCTGCACTACTTTATATCAAATATGGTTTGTACTGGTGATGTATCGAGGAGGTGCGCCTACCCGCTGAAGGTGGGCGTGGTCCGTGGCGTCTGAGGAGTGTGAAACTGAACTGGACTGATGACTGGTCTCATGTCCGGACCTCCAGCCTGCGGCTCTGTCAGTGAGAAGAGGGAAACCGCTCTTTGTGCTGCAACAGAGAAACACGATTGTGTTTTCAAAAAGCTGCTTGAACGAGTCTTTTTATTCTATCGTCCCTTGGGATACTTGACACAGTCACTCTGCACAGATAGCAGCAGGTTAAGGTCATGAATCAGGTGCTGGATTGAGTCCAGTGTGTTTGTGTGGTTTGAGTTGTGCTTTGTAGCAGTAGAGGACATGAGGGACAGCAGAGGTCCAGAAAAGAAACAGTGGCTGGGAAGCAGAGATGAAGCTGAACGCCCAGATCCCATGTCCTCTCCCAGGAGTATCGTGTGACAGAGGAGAGGTGAGATGTGGTGAAACCGATAGACCCCAAACAATATATCTAGTATCCATCAGGGATTTGGGAATTTACACTTTTAAATCACACATTTAAATCTTGCAAAGTTGTCATTACAACAACACCGTTATACTGTTGTCCGATCAAAGTCTATACATAAAGCTGATATGATGGGAGTTAATGTAAGCCGTTCTCTATGTATGTGTGCACTAATGGTTTGTATGATTTTTGGCAAATTGTAACAGAATACATTCAAATCTGAGAGATGTAGCACAAAGCAAGTTTGACATAGACAGGCTTTTTTTTTTTTTAACGTAAGTTGGCTTGGAAAAATATAAGACCCCAAAACAAGATAACTTGTACAACAGCGCTGGTTATCAACTTTTTAGGGACCCTAGACTTGCCTTTTCTGACTCTTTGCAAGTTCACATAAGAGAATGTGTTTAATGCGTCATTTGACTCCTCTTCATCACAAAATGGACTGATTGCATGCTGCTTATTTCAATTAACAGGTTGCTATAATGGAGAGCTATGAATCTATTATGATAAGAAACACTGCTTGTGCAAGTGGTGCAAGAGAGGAATGCTGGTAGAAAACCGTTAATTGTGTAAGTTAATATTTTTATTGTGCCACTCACATCAATATATTTCTAACGTACCAGCTGCACATTAGAGCTGCTATGCGTTAAAGTTCATACATTTAAAAATATTAGTGAATACATAGATTGAGGTCCATACTGTCTCATAATGAAGGATACACAGCTTTGGGCAAAATAAAAAAAAAAAAAAAAAAAAAGAATGTCACTGATTGAATATTCTCTTTGATAAATACCAAGACACGAATCAATATTGCAATCTGTTTAATATTAGCTGCAGTACCAGCAGTGTAAAACAAACTTGGCAGCAAATCAGGCTCAAACACATTTATGCATTTTCTGTATCGCCAATTGAATGAAGGTTACCATGGCAATGCAATGCATACAGTCTGTGCTACTGTAACGGCACGGCTTTGTTCAAAAGAAATACTAACGTGCAGCTCAGCAGGTTTGCAGATATAACGCATCCCTCAGCTGAGAATCTTTATCACTCAGAGAATCTTCAGGAAACGATTTGGTTAAAGGGAGATGCATCCAATTTAAATCCAAAAATGTGAACGTAACCTCCTCTAGAGCAGGTTAGCTGTGCACCATAAGTTACCATGGTGATCTAGGAGGCTAAAAGAGAGCATCCTTCGTGACACTAAAAACTCTGGCTTTAAGTTCAACATGCACCAATAACTTACTAGTCTTGCTTCGTAATGCAGCCCTCGGCATTGTCTTCCCTGAGTGCAGCTGCTAATACAAGAACTTTAAACAGCAAAGAACAAACCTCACATCCTCACCTTCGTAGGCTTTAGCAGCATTGACCAGGCTGGACCACTCCAGTCCACAGGCTGTGTCAGGAAGGGGCATCAGCCCAGGATCAAGCCTCCTCAGGGGGGGAACTTTGTCTCTCACTTCTGTAAGAGACAGCTCTGATGCAGACAGAGGCACTGAGGGGCAGAAGAGAACAGTAGCTGTAGTAAGTAAACAAACCTCTGTGTGATTTAAGAACTTTTACATACTTCAAAGTTGCAGAGAATGCAATTTCTGCAATTTGAAGTTAATAATCATAACAGGGTTTGCTTTAATGACTCTGAGCAACTTGAAAGAATAAAACTTGGCAGCGAATACACTCAACACAGCAGGGTTGCCCGTCAGCATTCAACATGGCTTTCGGAAGTTTGGTGAACCTGTCTGAAAATAAAAGGAGAGCAGCCGCAGCTTGAACACTCACCCTTCTTGCCCTGCATGTGGTTGGAGGAGACGTTGTGTCTGCGAGTGGGCAGCGTGCAGGTGAACAGCACGTCGGTGGGGGTCGTCTGGCTCTCAGAGTTGGCAAAGCTGGCGTCTCTGCGGCCGCTGCATAGTGACTCATCTGAAAAGGTGCGTTGCAATGTCCGTCTGGGAGACTGCAGAGAGAAAAGTCACAGAGGTCAGAGCTGTGTGTGGAAGTTCTTGAGAGTAAATCTGTTGACTAAAGCCTTATATAATGATCTGCAAGTTTGGTTCTCACTGGATCTCTTTGTGGTGTCTCTCCTGGGTTGTCCATGATGATCAGTTTCTTCAGGTCGTCTTCGATGGTGCTCTTGTACGTCCGTCGTGGTGATCGTAGGTCCCTCAGTGATGCTCGGAGCCGAGGTTGTCCGAACACATTTTTTGAATTCGTATCTACCTGCCTTAAGACACAAGATATGAGCATCAGCACAAAGAAATGCATCCTTTTTTTTAAAAAAAATTAATGACTATTTCCTGCATCTCCCCACAATGTTATCAGCTTGTCTATGCTCTCCAAAATAAAAACACACTGAGGACACTCACTACTTTTCTAAAAAGTAAAAAAAAAAAAAAAATTATTTATCATTATGTTTTAGGGGACTTGTTCCTAACCTCTGACTAATTATGACTTCAGCAAGAGGTCGCAGGATAAATGTGAGGAAAGCAGAAAAAAAAAAAATGTCCTGCTTATTATTGTATATCTTCCTCTAGTATTTTCTTCTTCTGAATTACACAATGGTTTTACATCTTCAGAGCTTAAAGCACTTTCATTGAATTCGTCACAGACAATATATGGCATATGCATCCAGTGTCAAAGGACAGCAAGCAGACGTGCTTTGTATGTGTAGGCTGGAAACCACTTATACGAGGCAGAATTAGTAGTAAAGAGCTCCTTCAAGTGTGGGTGCTTTAAACCAACCTTCACTTCATTAACAAAGATAATTTCTGTCTCTCAGTCTCTTTCTTACTTCTTGCCGTTGCTGCCTTCAGAGTTGGATGCTGTCACTGTGTTTGAAGGTGACTGACTGGTGTCTTCGGTTTGCCAGGCTGTTTGTCTGCTCTTTCCATATAAGGCCTTTGGGGCGGAGCTTGACAGAGGGGTGGAGCTTAACTGAGCTGAAGTGGGCGTAGTGGTGGCGGCTCGGACCGGTCGAGCCTTTTCTGCTGTTGGAGTCTTGTAACCCTGCGGTGTGTAGGCCCTTAAAAGACGGACAGATATACGTATGGTAAATCAAACAACATGAACAATTTTATATTGTCTGAGGCAGTTGCAATGTCTTATAATGAGTTCGCTAACTATATTTAAGAGGTCAGGTGACAGTTGTCTGCTTGTCAACCCTCCTTTGCAAATATTTAGTCACATTATCTTAACAGACAACACCAGCAATAACTTGCATGATGCAGGGTATGTTCATTTAATCCAAGGAACAAGACTGCATGTGCTCCCTTTGCTTGACTTTATTAATTATGGCTCCATACATTTCCCTTCCCTCCTGTTTACTGATCAGGTGATGAAAATAAAGAATGTGGAAATAATGTCCAGGCTGTGCCGTCCAGTCACCAAGACTATTTACAAGGCAAACTTTATTACTGAGTGCTGATGCAACACTATTGACAAGAAAGGTTATGAATTATGACTGCTCTAATTTATCAAGCTAATATGCTATCTTACTATGTTGTGTGCTACAAAGGCAGCATCTAAAAGGTTTTACGTCAAACGGTTTTACGTTCCACGTCAAAACAAGCTGAATAACCACTGTACTAAAACTTCAAATCTGTCCATCTGACTTACATGTCACACAGTGGCTGTTATGAGCAACAAAATGAACCACACCTTATAATGCTATTTGCCAATCTGTACACTATTATGATTTTTAAAGCCCCTTGTTTAAACTTTAGGTCTATATGATGCTGAAGGCCTGACACATCAAAGGCACAGACTGCAGCATTAGAGTCGATGACAGGGTTTAAACACAGATTGTTTTAATCCAGCACAGAGTGGTTTGAAGTCTGTGCAGGTTTGTGTGTTGCATGCATTTATATTGTGGGGGTAGCAGTAACAAGTGCACCAGCACAGATCACATGATGATCTGTATGTTTCACCAGGATTAGGCTGCTATAATCCTTTATGTACCCTTTAAAAATACATTTTCATCTATCATTCAATTTATCTAGTGGTGGTTCATAAACTGCTGCTTGGTGTAGCATTAATAAAGTCTTGAGTTATTACAAAGTACATACATTTTCCATTATGCTAAGCAGAACTGAATTGCAACATTCTCTCTATACAATAAAAAGCATCACATTTCTGGCTTAAATCTGCCCTCTCATTCACTGAGGTTAATGTTCGCCTCATTAAATGTGCCATAAAAGATGCATCTAATCAGGAAGTTGGTCTCGTACCTGGGTTTGAAAGCATCCATTTTATCAGCACTGGAGCCAGGAGGCGGGAATGTCCTCGTCCGGTATCCTTTGTTCTGATTGGATGCAGCTGGTATGATGGGTGAAGACTCTCGTCTCCTCGCCTCTCCCCCACCGCTGCTCCTTCCCACGGACAGCTCCTGGATGCCACTGTAGGTCGCAGAGCAGTGCATGGGCTTGTGGGATTGGCTGTTGGACATGTTTCCGTGGCGAGTGTTGTTGTAGTGCGTCGAGGCGTCGATGCCGCTGTCGTTGGACCCTCCCTTGTTGAGAAGGTCGGGGTCGGTGTCGGCCGGGTCACCCAGGCAACCCCCGCCTCCTCTCTCTCCTCCAGCACCTCCGTCGAACCAGCGCTCGTCGCTGTGGCTGCTGGAGGCGTTGCTGGACAGAGTGTTGCTGCTGGAGTGGCTGGAGTACTGAGTCTCACCCTGCAGAGGACACGAGGACAACAGTCAGATGGACTCAGTGAGGCAGAGAAGGTGACAGATAAAACAATGAGATCGAGTGATGACAAGTCTGACCTTCGAGTGTCTGTTTGGCGAGTCTTTCCCTGGGACATCCTGCCTGGTTAGTCTCCGCTGCCCCCCTCCGCCACCTGGTCCCCGAGACGACGACGCTGGGACATGCCAGAGGGGTTCTGCACAGAAAACACACACAGACAGGATTAAAGCAAATTACACTGAATGTCCATGGTTGCCAAAGAGGATTATATACTTATGGCACATTTAAACACTGACCTCCCCCCACACGCCATCGCTCAAAATCACACTCAGCTATCTCTGGTCTACTGAGCAATACACACACACTTGAAGCAATATAGAGACCAAGTGGAGATGTCAGATTAACCTACAATCAGCAGTAACAGGTTTCTTGGCTACATATTATTAACTTTTAAATTGATATGGTGAATATGTTAGCTAACAATTGCGTCTTGGCACATCCTGCAGACACAACGCTGCACTGGTTCCCAGTTCTTGCCGTGCTTCTGGTCACAGGTGACTGCAAATCAAACTGCTTGGTTCTTAGATAGTGTCGTGTGTTATTTTCAAGCTTTTGCATTACGGCTGCAACTGAAAGCGATAGCTGTTAAAATTAATCAAAAGAGGAACTGTCGGCGAAAAACCAAAACAGTGAGCTTTGAGAGTATAGAACTTCAGAGAAATTTCAGATGCAAGTAGTTAAGTGATCCATGTTATTCTTCTGAACCCTAAGGTGGCAGGGTTGAAACAATATTATGCCACTTATCAGAGCCAGAAACTGTAAAAACAGACAGAATCATCAGATTTTCAACCCTCAAATTATTTGTGACCTGCAGTTCTATCAGGACAAAAAAAAACAAATCTAAGCATGGCATTGTGATATTCCATTAAATACAAGGTATTTTACGCGCCTCATTAAAAATTGTTCAAAAAAAAAAATAGCCGTTAGCAAGAACCAAATGCTGTAAAAAAGAACAAAATCTGCATTCCTTGGCACAACTGAAAAGCTATTAGTGACTTGTCCGACTAACAGTCATGTGACAACATTTTTTTGGTTGTACTGCAGACTGTTTCAACACAGAGCAGGGGGACAAGTATGGAAACAAATTAAAAATGTAAGTAGTAAAATATTTATAGTACGGAGAGTCACAATTTTATTCCAGATTAGTAAGACCTGGGTGCACTTGAAAAATGTTGTTCATGATGATTCTATTTGCCCCCCTTTTTGTAGAGTATGTAACAAAAAAAAACATACACACTTTTGTTTTTTTTTCTTTTTTATCATTTATTTCATTAGAACTCTCTGTCATTACGCACGCCAAACTTCTATTTATGGTTGTGCTGCTTCCACTGAGGTGCAGGATTTTATGTTGCCGTAAAAAATGAGCCCGCAATGTGACAAAATGTGACAGCAGCAAAAACACCCAGAAACTGCTTTGGGTTCAGAGGGTTAATGGATAAACAGTGATCACGGCTACTTTAAAGAGATGTGTCAGATATGTTATGTTGAACATCTACTTTTTGAGGGTGGTGTACCTGTTTTACCACGCTCCATGGTGCTGTCCTGGCTTGTGAAGCCTGAGGAAGACTCTCCACTGGAGGTGACGTCCACACTGAGGTGGGGTTCATAGGGCAGCAGGGGGCGCTGTCCTGTTCCATATCTGCATAGGTCATAGAAGAAAGGATGGGTATGTGATTAATGAACACATTCATACATTCATGCAGGAGTCTGCAGCAAAATAACTAGAATATGAAGGCAAGATGAGTGAAGAGTGAAATTCCCCTAAAGCAAGCCCTAAAAATATACAGTTTGGATCTGACTAACAGAGGAGATTTTCAGTCTCTGTTTTGCATCCTGATGGCGGTTAAATAAAACACGTTTCTCTGGTTGGGTGAGATGTTATCAACCTCCACACTGTGAGGAAGAGCCACCCACACAACAGATCCTTTCTCTGGAAGACAGTGTGTTCATACACGCCTTGCTGCAGACATGGACGCGCTACATTATTCAGCCTCTCTTATGAACCAATGTAATCTGCCTCTAGCACACAAAACAGTTGTTATGGGTAACATCGGACATGTTTAATCAAGATCTGAGCAGTGATGGAGAAAAGCTCAGAGAACAAAAGACCACAGACACACACATACATACACACCTGTCGGGTGAAGGTTTGTAGCGTACAAAGGGCCCTGGTGTGATTCCAGGCGGTCCCATTGTGGAGAGACCGACCAGGCCCGAGGAGGGCGAGGAGAAGCTAGCAGAGGGGTTCCTGTAGGGCAGCACTCTGTCGCCTCCTGCAGGAGACAGACTGTAGTGGTTCTCTGGGTAGCTCACTGGTCTGGAAGATACAGCAGGTGATGGTTAATTAGGAGAAAAACAACAGACCACAGAGAGGTGATGGAAATGAGTAAGGATGTTACAAAAACACACAAAATACCGGTCTAAATTAAGCGAAAAACAAACTTGTTATTAACTTTGGGTGACGACAAGAGCTCCAAGTAATGTGTGTGAGCTTGTTAACCAAGAGGAAACAAGTTAAAGACTCAACGTAAAACAAAAACATTGCTGTAAACACCTACAACCTACTTAACCTTGACAAACTGAAATAGCTACTTTGACACTTTGGTGAGATCTGAGTTAAAAATCCATCTTGTTCAAGTAGAATGCAAACATACAGGAGAAACATATTAACAATGCAGTTTTCCAGCCGTTTTCAGATGAAGTCTGGCAGGCAGCAACGGTGTAGTAATAATATGTGAGTTAGCCTGAGGATGTTTCTTCAAGCACATCTGCCTTCAAAAACCTCTTGTGTCAAATATTTATTTAGGATGTTGCACGCAGGGAAGCTATCCTAGAAAACCTTCAGTAATGAAGTTACAACCGCTATCTCAATAAATATCCAATATTATTCTGATAAAAAGACTAAAATGCCATTTTGTTGTTTCACTTTTCTTGGTTAAACATGATTGGGAGGTAATATAGGTTTTGTTTTTCCTCAATGCACGGCTTTTTAAATAGAATTATTACCCTTTGTACATTTCAAGGTTTTTACACCACATACAATGGCTTTTTTTTTTTTTTTTTTTTACATTATCAGGCAAATAATTTACACATTCCTACTAACTTAAATGACTTACAACCCCTTGGATTTGCTATACTTGCTGTTTGACTTGTAACTCTTTCCCTTTCTTTGTCTTCTAACCCTTACTGTCTATTGACTTGCAACAATTGCTTTTTTAAAAGCCTATTTTATCCTTTAAAAATGTTTCTACCTATCAGCGTTAATGTCATGCACCAAAATCAAGTAAAATCCTCATATGTGAAAACCTTCTTGGCAATAACACTAATTCTGACTCTTAAGCTGACATACTTTTTACTCATTAAATCATCATAAATCATTAATAGGTAATTCATTCATTTTCATTCTTGTTGCCAAATAGCAGAATAACATAACTGTCATGAGCTACGAAAGTGTTTGCAAATTATTCATTTAAGATGTAAACAAAAACAGAAGCTGCAGTGTAGCTGTTAATGTTTTTCATATCAAACAAAAAAAGCCTTTTTTTTTATTTCTGTAAGCTGAATTACAACTACCTGTACAGCAATTTGAATTTGAAATATAAAATATAGGGGTTATAAAGAAGTTTGGGCTCAGGCCACTGATACAGAAAGACTTTGTGGAGTGCTGTATATACACACCTCTAAAACCATCATATCTTTATAGTGTAATGAAGCAAATCACTGAGATACACTGAAGGGTGCTTGTTGTACTTACTGAGTTTTTTTATGCATTATGCAATTTAGCTTTTATTAACTTTACCTTTTATTTCCATAACTGTAATATTTGTCTAGTCACCAATAAAGAGACCATTATCAGCTACAGTATCTGTTGTGTAATGTGACAGAAAATGAAACAATGTTCGAATCTTACCTCTTGGAATTGAGGTGCTGAGGCTCTCTGTAGGGAACTGGCATCAGGGCCTTGTGTGTGCGGGGCAGTGGAGGAGGTGGGGGGCCCATGGGTACCCAACGCTGTGCGTTGGGGGCACTGTGAAGCCCAGGAGGAATGGGTGAGCTTTCCCATCGCCATGTTTGGCGAGGGGAGGGTCGGTATCCTGCCGCCAGAGGCTCAGGTTCTGGCTTCTGCTCCATGGTCTTCATCTCGTACTCCTCTGTGCAGCCCCTAAACAGACACAAAGAGGTTTAGGAAGATAATAAAGAATTCAGCACAGCAAGAGAATCAAAAGCTTGACACTTAAATGTCATTGCTCTACTCCTAACCCCCATGTATGTTGCCTTTGCACAGTCTCCATCCACACGTTGTGAGCTCAGCTGTGGCTCAGTGAAAAGGACTGGTGAGGAGCAGCAGCCTCCCCCTTGAAGGCTGAACTGCAGCTGAACCAGAACTGTGGCTTCTGTACTGAGTTCAGTGTGTGAAAACCGCTCAATAAATTTTCTCAGAATCCTCCACATTATTGTCCTCACATAACACGCTTTGTGGATGCTCAAACACGCGGCCGACATGTAACAGAGCTTGCTAATGAGCTCCCCTGACGCCGATGGAGGGAGCAAGAGAGGAAAGGAAACTGATTATTGGCACATCAGGGCTCCATCTTGCCTACTGTGAGACTGAGGTCAAGTGTGTGTGTGTGTGTGTGTGTGTGTGTGTGAGTGTGAGTGTGTGTGTGTACGTGTGTGCGTTTGAGATATCCTCTAATCTCATCAAAGAGCTCCTCACTCAAGGTCTTAGTTTATACAGCAGATATGTATAAAAGCAGAGCACAAGGTCACAGTAGCTGCACTTAAAATTCATGCTTAGTTCAAATTTTTTTTCTCTACTCAGAAACAGTACCAACCAGTACTTCTCACATCAAAATGCCACAGACATCAACTGTTTTAGCTCGCCGTTGTAATAAAAAATTAAAGCATCATGTGAGGGGGACAGCCTTCAACAGCTCTCAAATGAGGATAAGCTGGCATTTATTCTCATCAATTATGAAAGCACTAACAGAGCTCCCAGATGGAGGGGTGGTTATCTTTATTTATCGACTCAGGACACAAACACAACTAGATTTTGCTCAGTATCCTCCTGATATCCAGCATGCATCTTTTAAACGTCATCATTATTTCATTCACAAAGCCTATTACAGGAGGTATCAAATATGCATAATGGACGGCATTTAAGATGAGACGAACTAAGAGAGAAAATGAAATGAGGAGGAAAAGTGGTGTCAACGGGAAGATTTCAAGTAAGGGGCAAGTGAAATTCAGGGGCAAGAGTAAGTAAAAAAAACTTAAAGAGATGCAAAACAATAAAAGGAAAGGCTAAAAATGTGTCTAAGGTGCTCTAAAATCCAAAGATATTCAATTTACTCCCACAGGAGACAAACCTATATTCATATCTGAGAAACTATTCCTTCTGATTTTTTTGGCAATTGTGCTCCAAACTGGATTAAATGATCAATGACTTACTTAGGTTGCAGATTTGCTGATTGCAAACAAACCCAAAGCCAAATGGCTGCAGGTCCTTAGAGGTGTAAATCTGATGTAAACTGAATATATTGGAGTTTTGGAGTGTTAGTTGGACAACATAAGACATTTGACGATGTCGCTACATGCTTGGAAAAACTGTACAGGGCAGTTCTGACTGCACAATTTTATAGATCAATCTTAAAACGTAGAAAATATTCAGCAGATCAATGAACACGATTGTTTGTTGGAGCCCTTAAGAGACGTAAACAGAACACAGATGCACACACAAACACCCACACACCAACAACGATGTCTTCAGAAAATGTGAATTTTTGAGCAGATTTCAAATGACAGTGTTCTCGACAAAAGCATAACAGCTTAAAAATAGTAATTCGTGTACATGCACGCAACATGTGGTCAGGATATTTTAATCAATGAAGGAATAACTCAACCACTATCAATACAGTTACGTAATAGCGGTGCGCGCTCAGACCTCGTACACGCACACGGGAGGATGACAGTACAAACCTTAGAGAGAGCAGAGCCTACATCTGTCGACATGCAGTGTTTCTCCCATCACGCTGGCTGAGATGACACAGCTGGAGCTCCCCAACACGCCACCGATCAGTCACACCTTTTCCCTGCTCTACCCGTCCATCTTGCGAGTTCACAGCCGAGACACAACAGCAAAGAAAAAACCCTTCCAACTTTCGTGCGTCTCTTTCTCTTCCTCTCGCTCTCTCTTCCACCCACTCCTCTAAACTCTCGGTGGTGTTGAGACACGTCCTCCTCGCCGAACGCTTCTCTGCCTCAATACACTCAACCCTGCCTCTCCCTCTCTTTACAGCTCGATCCCTCCCTCCTTCTTTTTCGTCCTTTTCATTTGCACAGGGCATGCATTTTTAATTAATCACTTCCACTCCTTTATTTATTTATTTTTGTGGTCTTTCCCCCTCCCTCCCTCGCCCCCCTCCCCTGCAGATTCCAGGCCTTAATCTCATGCAATCTGCTTGCCTGGCACACATTGGGAAACGAGTCGGAGAGAGAGGGAGAGAAAGGGGAAGAGTGAAATACAAGACTCTAATTATCAGCTGCTCCAATGCCACAGCAGAGTGTGTGTGTGTGTGTGTGTGTCAAAAGGATTTAAGTTGGTGTAATTAAACTGCTTCCAACGTTAAAGAAATCTAACCACTGTGCGATCACACAGCCCGCCACAATTACTGTATTTAGGAGCTCTAGTTCAGTCAGGAACACAGACACACTGTGGTTATTTTCTTCACCTCGGTAACCGTCCTGTAGCACCACATCAGCGTCTCATAAGGCCTCGTTATTCTGTCTAACTCAAGGCCTTATGTGCGGATGAAAGGATGGAAAAGGATGACGGCAGGGGAAAGATACAGATTGTGGGAGGAGGAGAAGCGAGACAACAGAAGAGATGACGAGATAAGACGGAACTAGAGAAACAAAGAATGGCAGATTTTGCTAATTCACTTAAAACAAATGCTCCTTTCTTTTTGTCTCCATGCCTCATTTTGCCTGTTTCCTCCTCAACCACGTCGTTCTTTCTCTCTCTGTTCGCCTGCTTCCTCTTTTCACACACTCCCACACAAAATCCTCTCAGAACATTGGAGTCTGGCCACTATCTCACCCAGGCTTTTGTGTGTTTGAGTGAAGAGCATCCTATACTCATTCTAGCTCGCTCTTGTCCTTCCACTACTGCCCACTTACGCTCAGCACCCTCCCATGCCGTCACCCACTGCCTCAACATCTGTATTCATGGCAGCTGTTTACAAATGAATCACTCTCATTAGTTCAGCTTCAAAGGAAAGACCATGCACACTGCAACACACCTGCGAGGTCCGCCCTCCTCGTACGGAGGAATGATGACCACTTTGACCGTGACCGACGTCCTCAGCAGGTCAATCATCTGCTCATGAGTTAGCGTCACTGCGGCCACCTTGCAGATCTCCACCAACCGGCTGCCCTGCCTCAGTCCTGCCTGCCAAGCGAAGCCGTACTCCTCCACCTGCATGAAAAAAAAAAAAAAACAGGTCAGTTATGTACAGCCAAGAATCTTCAAAGTATTTCAGTATAAGATCTGGTCATCTGATGGTACCTCAGCCACAGTGCCATCCAGGCGAACATGGAAGCCCAGCTGTCCCAGTCCGTTTCTTCTCAGTGTCATATCTACAGTCTCGCATCCCACTGTCAGCGACTTGCCAAACAAAGGATGTAGGGAAAAACACATTAGATTCACACCATTAACATTTTATTATGTGTGTAGTCTCTGGACATCTTCTAAAAAAAGTCAATATCTAAGAAGGATGACGTTTACAACCCATTACACATGAACAACGATCAATGATATTATCAATATTCACACAAATTACCCACCTCAAACTATTTCAACCAGAATTCTGGGAACATCGTTAGTCTCCAGTGTGCATGTATTTGGTGCTTTTAGAAAGATTAACTCCGTTTTTTAAATATTTTGTTTTCTGTTGGATTAACACAAAGCTCGCTGGAGTCCAGGAAATCTTCTTTTCCCTCAGTTTAATTCATCAAAAAATTTTCAGGGATTATCATTAGATTTAATGCTTCTTATCAGCCAGTGCTTACAGTTGGATAGCTTCATTCAAAGAGTGAATCACATGGTTGCATGGACTATATCTATACAATGTGATATCATTTGTCATAGCTGTGACTCCTGTTGTGTGAATCCTGTTTTCCCTTTGAATTTACAGGTTTTTCCAGGTGAGTCAGTAAAACCTCCACAGGATGAAAAACAATGCTCACTGTGGAAATTCCCTGACTTCAGAGCAGGTATGAAGTAGTAACAGTCTTAACAGGAAAACAGCCCAACAGATTTTGAAAACAAAACAGTGCTAACCACAAAAACACAGTGACTTGATAAAGTGTAATTAAGGCTTTTAAGTGGTCTGACAATAGTTACGCACAATCTTGAGTCAAGATCTCCAACCTTTCAAGGTTCCCTGTGAAGTTTTTGACCACTACAAGCTCTACAGAGCAGTGCCTTTACATGTCAGAGCCCATTTGTTTGTACTGTGCACACACATAAGACACATGCACATACATAAGGACAATTTAATTCTTTTCTTTTTCTGTTTTCGTGCTGGTGACAAACAAGTGTGCAGTGAAGATGAAAACTGCAAGCTGGTAAATAAGGATGTAAACAATGCATGGATTTATATATGTATAAAGAAGCTTTGCAAAAGAGATATGAGGAAGGAAATTCCCTCAACAGATTTGCTGGGCCTCAAGGATACAAGCAGTGTATAATGGTAAGAAACACTGAATGCAAACAGTGTGTAGTCATCTTTCTACTCACTATGGCCCACACTGAGTCACAATCCTGCTCTAGGCTCTCACCTTTAACCTCTGAACCATCTCCCTGATGTCCTGTGCACAGCCTTCTGGTACTCGTACGGCGATGTGGTCTCCTCTGCCATAGAAGATCTTCAGCGCCAGTCGTTCTGGTGTCCAGCCGATCACGTCCGCACAGAAACAGTTAAACACCACCTCTTTGGTGGAACAGTCTATGAGGAGGACATACTCAGCTGACAAACCCAAGGCACAGAAGAGCTCCGTTCCTCCTCCACTAAAGTCCTGGGCCTGGACTCTCCAAGCAACCGCCCCTGCAGCTCCAAGCTCCGCTCCTTCTCTCGCCTTTGAGCGCTCGCGTTTCTTAGACGCAAGAGAGATGAGATTGTTTAGTTTGCCAGCTGAGTCGAGCGGCGTGCTGCTCACGTAGTTCTCAGCCAGGTCACGCAGGTACTCCTGCCGTGTTCGTGTGGCCATGGTGTGGAACTTCTCTGACTTGTGTGCTGCACTTTCTGCATTGATGACTTTGGCTAGAAGGAAGTTTCGAAAAGTCTCGGGGTCACGGAAGGTGACGCCGTTGGGAATGGGTGGTCCAAAGGGGGGCACATCCTTCATCCGTGTCACAGCAACACTGAGAGAAAAGGAAGACACAGAGGATCAGAATAATTTTTAATTATAGCAGCATGTATATAAATATGTGTTCGATCTGTTGCAAACATTTACCTGTAACAGGTGTTGTCAGAGCAGGGGTTGTGTACACGAACGATAACAAAGACATGCTGGAAGTGTGAACGAATATTTTGAGGGGTGAAAGGCAACGCTCCCGGCTCCTGAAAGATTATCGTGACAATGTCGTTCCCTATGTGCCTCTTCCTGAGGAGCTGTGGAGGAGAGGACAGACAAAAATGTCAAATTAATAAAATGAGCGAACATAACTGGCACTGACACCACTGACTCAGTAAACGATAGAAAGTCTGACAAGGGAAATGAGAGATTGAGACGCTCACTCTTTGACACCAAACAACAGCTCTTTATGTAATTTGTTTTTCGGATTCTGTGTGGGCTATTTGTGTCTGTGTATGTGAGTGCTGGTTTGTCCGTCTATCTGTGTTCATGTAGGAGACATGGCAAACAGTCCAGGCTGTGTCTGTGGTGCAGTGCTTGCCAATCCTCTCTTCATCTGCAGAGAGAAGTGTGAAAGTACCAATTATGTAATGCAGCCCACTGTTTGGCCACAGACACATTCTCCAGCATGGTGCCAGAGGAGCATCCTTCACTTGTACCAAGGCTGCAGTTTAAAAAATGTAATTGTACTTGTTCTAGTGTACAGTGACAGGAAAGAAGTCAATTCAATTTTACATCTGGGACCTTTTAAAAGCATCTTAGCTATGTTGTATTTGAATATTCATTCTGAGAACAGCTGAACTTCGTTGATGTGCAAGATTTACCAGTTATTTATTGTATATTTCTTGACTGGTCATTCAATTGAATTCTGCAGGCAGAGCTTGTGCTCTCCTTTTCCTCTAGAGTGAATGTAAGAGCCTTCACAGCAGCTACACTTGAATCCTCCTGTGCTCGTTCATCTGCTGTGGGCTGTTTTTAATGTCAGACGCTGCCACCTAGAGGTTTATCTGCGCAAGTAAATCTCCTCGCTGCTGCAGTCCCTAAACCTCTGGATGGAGTTATTGTGCTACTTATGAAAAAAAAAAGACTCTTTCTGATTGAACAATTGATACTGACATTTTGCTGCTTAAACATTTAAACTACTTAAGTCATAGGGAACACACTTATTTGTAACAAGATCTTTCACAAGATAGTAAATTGTCAAAAGCTTATTTATAATAGCAATAGATTGCTGGGGGTGATGGTGATAGCATTACAGTCTTCTAATTTACGACACTGATTTTTTTTAATGTCTGTGCATAACAAATGAATTCTTTGTGGCCTAAATTGCTCTGTGGTGATGTGTTTACAAGTGTGCACACTAATCCTGAGCACCTACAGGGCTTGTCTGAGCACATGTGCACACCCGTGTGAGCCTCTCACGCAAACACTTATGCAAATGATATACCCACACACAAAATGTTATTTTACACACAGCTCACTCACTTGTTGCCCATGCTGCAAACACACAGCGCCCAGGAGAACACGTAGAAAGGCAGCATTATTTAAATAGGTAAAAGAAGTGAAAAAGAGGGAGAAAATATACTAATAACTACTCACCACTGAACCCCACCCAATTCACTGAGAGGCAGAAAGAAGTCAAAAGAAAAAGCTAGACAAGGCAGAAAAGCCAAGACACAGAGAACAAAGACTATAAAAACACAAAAGGCTGAATAAAACGGAAGGAGACTTTAAATGAAGAAGGCGACACAAGTCACGAGTTTCCACTTCATGGATTCTTGCTGTGGTTTTACGATCCAGGGCAAAAAACAGAGGCTTTAACTAACAAACATAGGAGTGCTTTAAAGGCTCAGGGTGACAACAAAGGAAAGTCATGGATGTATTTTTAAGATATACACACCAGTGTTTGACCTGCAGCACAGCATACAGCCCCAAGTGATGGGGATGTATTTAAGTGGGGATGTTCATAAGCTCTTACCTGCTGTGGGTTGTTGGGCATATAGGGCAACATGGTCGACACGTGGAACATGACCTCGTAGCCCTGGTAGGTGGTGTACAGGGAGTGGGTGCCTGTTGAGTCCGCTGGAGAAGGAGGAGGAGAAGGATATTTTAATTTCACAACAGAGGTTGTGAACTACAGATGATAGTGTTTGTTGAATCACAGTTTCTGGTTTAAAAAGATGTTTTTCCAGGGACAATGAGGATTCACAGGGTTGCCTTTGCTGGGACTGGGGGTTTATTTATTGTGTGTTTTTCCCAGATGTTATTTATTTAAGAATAAGAAATTATAATGAAGTGATACAGCTATTTCAGTGGCAAATAAGATGTGTGTGTTTTACCTCAACCAAAGAAAATTTCTATAGGGCAGCATTATGGAAATGTTACTAGATCTGACATAGCAAGACTGATTTTAACAGAAAAGTATTTCATTCAGTCAAGAGACCAGCATTTAAAAATCTAATTTACAGAACAGGATGCATGTCTGAAAGAGGCTCTTACTCTTTGTGTCGAGCTGTGCAGCGTATTTGGTAAATCCTTTGAGAAGCACCTGCTCCCCCAGCAGCTCCAGGAAGGCAGAGAAGGCGGGTGATGCCTCCTCGTTGTTGTACATCTCCTCCTCTGTGCTCTGGCCTGCACGGCACAGCAGAACACCCACCTTGTGCTTCTGACTTAGCTACAAGGCAGTGGAGAGATACCTTTAATATTAGACACACTCTCAGAGCAAATAGAAACAGCTTAAACATGACATTCAAACACAGCTGAAACACTGCAGTCTGAACGTCATGTTTCTGTTGAAAGTAACTGTCAACGGACAAGAATTTAATCCAAATGTAATGCATATCTATTTTTTTTTTCTCACAGAGTACAGTTTCGTTGGGGCATAAACCACCTGCACAAACAACAACTGCTGGCAAAATACCTGTCTTGCACTTCACCCTCCATTAAATTAAAGCTGAGATAACATGGCCAAACATTAAGGCTTTTATGGTTACACACTCATGCTTAAACATGCCACACCCTACTTTACACAGCTTTCACTGCCCTCCACTCAGTTTTGTACTTTGCACAAGCACTAAATCAGTTGTACAGGTTTGAGACACTTTTATACACACTATCTGAGAATACCATATGTCACTGTTTCTCCTTATCTCTTTGATTTTCTTTTTTGCTGTACAGTCACCACAGACAACTTCCCTGCACAGGTACACTTACTGTATTTTGCCCAAGGACACTTTAAATAAATCAACTGTCCAATATCCAGTTTTATTGCAAGAGCCCACAAGTCAAATGCAAATGTAGACACATTAAACTCACCCCCTGTTCATCCAGTTTTAGGAGCTGCTCTGTGACTTTGGCTGTGCTGAGTGCCAGTCTCAAACAGGACACATTGAGCTCTGGGACGACCTGTTCCAGGACCTCTTTGAGCGGCAGACCTCGAACTGTGCCGTGTTTCCCTGTAGACGCCACGGCATCTTCTAAAATGGAGCCTCGCAGGGTCACAAGCTGCATTAGGATTTAAGAACATGATGAGTAAAACTGGAAGCAAAACATGATTTAAAGGCTAAAAATATTTATTTGAATATCACACTGAACAGGTCAAGAAATGTATTTTTGTTTTTTTCAAATTTATTATAGCGAATACAATTGCTGTTTTGGAACATTTATCAGCAGTCTTTGGTCATACAGCTCTAATGAAACAGTACAAAGCAGTGTAAAATGTAAAATGATCACATTTTGAGTCTGTAAACTCTGAGACAAGTGAGAGCATACTTCTTATTTTAGAAAATATATGAAATGAAATATATTAAAGGAAATTTTCTAAAATCTTCTTTCATCAGACTGAAACCTTCATCACTATCAACCCTCCTACTATTTGTCTCTTCACCTCTTCTTGAAGACAGAATATTGCTGACTCTCTACAAGAAGATCAACTTGCTTATTAATAAGGGTTGTTCAACCTTTTTAAACACTTTTTTTGTTTTCGTTCCCTTGGCTTTTGGGGTTCAGATGGTTAAATTAAATATATTTACCTGATTACAGGATTGTTTATTTTAGAGCTGAAAAGTCCAGACAGGACAGACAAAATGATTAATTGAAAAAATAAAAAAATAAAAAAAAAAATACAATCTTTGCTTATTTTTTCACCTTAAAAAAAAAAAAAAGTATTTATGTTTGCTCCTTTTTTGCTTTGTTGACAGGCATTAAAACCTTTTGTGTTGAATATAATCGCATTGTTTCATGTACTGTACATTGAAAATTTTAGATTTTGTGTCATCTCGCTCATAAAGACTTGTGTTTTCTGTGCTGTACCTATTAAACACAACAAAAATCTATTTTTTAAAAGAGTTAAAAACAGTTGGAGCTGGCAGAAAAACGTAATAATACTGCTGATATGTTGCGCTGAGAGAGGTCAGAAGACATGGACTGTAAATAAAGGATGGATGATTAGTGCTATGGGAGTTTGAAGCGGGTCCATCAAATGATGGATAGTCTCACTACTTGTAATAGTGCCCTGCAGCTCTGATGCTTTTTCTCTTTGTCAAACACACACACACTGTCAACATACTCTGTGTGAAGGGTTTTAAGTCCAGTAGTATTGTAAATTAATATTCTGCTCAGTATTGTGCTGCCACAGTGCGCTGCTCCCTGGTGAGAGGAAATTGACCCGCTTCAAAACAGTGAGACTGTAATAACCTCAGATACAGTTGGGAGGAGTGGGCTGCTCCTTCTCACCATGCTCACTCACATGCAGGTTCATTAAAAATGCATGGCAGACTCTGGCCAGGGAGACAGTTGAACCTCAGAGACTCGGGGTGTGCTGCAGAGAAATGAAGCCTGATTGACACACAGCCGAAGTTACGGAGCTGTCCTTTCAACTCGTCACTTTCTGTGCGACGGCAAAGCGGGTGACTGCGACATGCAGAGCAGGAATATCAGACGAGTGTGAGAGTGTGAATGTGTGATGGAGAGAGGGAGAAAGAGGGGAGAAAGAGGAAGTCTCTCCACCTTGCAGTGTCAGCACTGCTGCACAGAATTAAATGACAGACTTAAGGGGGTTGGATATTTGAGAGCTGCTGCGGCTTGAGTGGGAGAGAATAAAGTCTGCAATCAATCTCTTTTTCTTTCTGTGTGGGAACAGTAGGCCAGGGTGTGCAGGCTGTGTCTGTTAGCTTAGCTTTGTGTACTTAGATGGCGGAGAAGCTCCATTGTTATACCAGAGCTACAGTGATGAGGCCAGGCAGCCATGTAATCCAGCTAAAAACAACACCGCACCAGCCACACAGAACAATACACTCAGGCCAACCACTACATGAACACAATGAACTGAGGCAAACTTTGCTTTTTGTTGGCGAGACCATGACGATGCAAGACGAGTGTTGCAGTGATATACTGATTGAAATGAAACTATTACTCTTTTTTTGTAAATGTCAACCAAAGAAAAACAAAAGACTAACAACATTCAAGCTGAACTTAATAATCGATCAAAAGAAGAAAATTAATCAACTATTTAGATAATCAGTTAATCATATAAGCCCCTTTTTCAGTAAGATGCACACAATTCAGAAGTTCCAGCTTCTGAAATGCACATCAAACCATTTCACTCACTTTATTCAGTGAGCTCAATAAATGTG